CGTCCGGGGCGCCCGGGTCGTCCCCGCTCCCCGGCTGCGGGTCGTCAGCCTCAGGGGCCTGGGTAAGGGGCGCGAGCAGAGCTTCGGCCAGGTGGTCCTCCCGGCCCAGCAGGTAGGTCTTGGCCTGCTTCATCTGCTGCAGCTCCAGCAGCTCGGCCTCCAGCTCCTGGACGCGCAGGCGGCAGCCCTCCATCTCGCACAGCTGCCGCTCCAGCTCCGAGTACTCCTGCAGCACGGCCGTGTACTCGCGCTCCGCGCGCTCCTTGCGCTGCCGTTCCTGGCTCACCTGGGAGCGCAGCACGCCCACCAAGGTTTGCAGCCGCTCGTTCTCCTGCTCCAGGGGGCGCGGGCCCAGCTCCAGAGAGGAACTGTGCAGGCGGAAGGCATCCTCGCACCTGGGGGGAGCGAGCGCAGGTGGGCAGGGGGCGGTGGGCGCGGCCAAGGCCCCCAGCCCAACCTGGGACCCTTTCATCACTCTTGTCCACTCCTGGGTTTTTCTGGTAGCTTTCCGTTTCCTTGGCCTAGGGATGGCAGCGGCTTTTCTCTGCTGCAATCCTGGGATGCTACAAGTTCCCCCGTGGTGTCCCTAGACTTTGTCTACCTCTTCTTTATTTGTATTTATTTAAATCTGCCATAGGGCATGCATGCTTGCTGGAGAGAGACAGAGGGAAAGTGAGAAAGCCCTCTCGGGGGAGACAGCCACACCACAATCCCTTTACCTCCATTCTCCCCTAAGGATGCTGGACTCACACGCACCCAACCGCCACGCCACCTCTTCCTTGTCACCCTCTCCTCAACTGCTCTGTGTGGGAGCTGCCTGTTTCCAGCCAGGACCCATTCTGGAAGATGCGCTAAATACACACACCTAGGTATCGAGTAATCACTGGCTTTCACAGGAACTGAAAAATATAGTGGCTAACCCCCTTGCTGGGTTAGAATCCTGGCTGTGCCTCTCACTCACTGGACAGGTGGACTTGGATAAGACACATCACCTCTGAGGTTGGTTTGCTCCTCCGAGTAGTGGGCAGACTAAAACACCCCTAGCAGTGTCGCGATGACATGGAGTCAGCAGCAGGTGGCTCAGCACTCACCAGCTGCTGTGAGCATCGTCAGCAATGGGAGGAGTCTCTGCACTGCCTGGAGGCACACGTTCCCCACTTCTGCCCACTGCCCACCTCTCCTCCCTGGCTGGCAGTACTGGACTGGGAGATGCTGAGGGGCACCCTGGCCTACCGGGGGCTGGTGCACAACTCCTTGAGGCAGGGAAAGGTGTGGATGGTGCGCCTGCGTTCCCGCTTCTCCCGGCGCACTCGCAGCTGCTCCAGGCCCCGCAGCTGCTCCACCTGGGCCTGCAGCTCCTCCACCTGAGCCTGTAGGCGCTCTGTGGTCTCTGTCAGCCTGGGGAGGGGGCAGGGAGCACATAGGAAGGGCTTAGGGGAGGGGCCAGACCTCCTCAGTATAGCCTTGGCTTACCCCAGGATGGAGAGGTGTGTGGTTGGGCACAGACAAAACCCTGAGCATGCGGCCTGGTGCTGAGGTCAGACGGGGACTCCTGTGCCCAAGGACTCCTCTCCTGTATCTCCCGGGCCGAGCTGGTCCCTCTGCCTCTGTGCCACCTCAGTTCTTGCACAGTCCTCCGTCACTTATTATTATACACACCGCCTTCCCTCCCAGGCTGGGAGCTCCCAAGGGGCGGGCCAGTGCCATTCTCACCCAACATTGCTCCGCCTGTGCCTAAAGCCAAGCCGGTGCGTAATCGATGCCTAAAGAAGGGTTGTGGCCTGAACAGTAAACCATGCAAAATTGCAAGGGCAAGCTCGCTACCGCCCGGGTTCCTAGGCCGGGGCTTCTGGGAAAAGAGCAAGTTGCAGCGGTAAGTCCCTACGCCCACGTGCACGCCCAGCCCTGGGCTCCCCTTGTGCGCTCCCCAGCCCGGCCCAGCCCTCACCCGTGGATCTTCTGCTGGGCAGCCTTGCTCTCCAGCAGCAGCCTCTGGTTGGTCAGCTCCAGGTCTCGGGCTGTCAGGTCCAGCTGCTCGTATACTTTGGCATGCTGCTCATTCACGTGCCGCAGCGTGTCCAGCTGCTTCGTCAGGTACTGGGGGGAGTCACGTTTTAGGATGGGTGGGCCAAATATCTCTGAACCTTTCTTGCACTTTATTTTTATTTATTTATTTGTTTGTTTATTTATTTATTTATTTATTTATTTTATTTTGGAGAGGTTTTTGCTACAGGGCGTGTGCGCTCACCAGACAGAGAGAAACAGAGAGACAGAAAGCGAGAAATCGCCCCCCAGGGGGGATGGCCACACTGCAATCCCTTCTCCATTCTCCTCTCAGGATCTTGGGCACGCACGCACATGCACCTGGTGTGAGTTTTAAGCCACCGGGTCCGGGACACGAACTGCGGTCGACTACGTGGGAGTCCAGCAACATAGCCATTACGCTAACTGCTGGTCCCCTCCTTGTACTTTATTAAAAAAGGCTTTTTATGTAGGGTGTGTGCACTCACCAGAGAGACAAAGACAGTGAGGGAAAGTGAGAAATCATCCCCCAGGCAGATGGCCATGCCGCAATCCCTTCTTCCAGGATCGTGGGCTCGCACACCCACACACACCCGTCATGATTTTCAAGCCCACACACACGCCCACAATGATTTTCAAGCCACCGGGTCTAGGACGTGAACTGCAGTTGGTCATGTGAGAGTCCAGTGACATAACCGCTATGCCATCTGCTGGTCCCAACCCTCTTTGCACTTTTAAGGGCAGATTTGCTTTCAGCTGAGTGGGAGATAAAGATGATGGCGTGGCAGGGCCAGGGATAGTCGCACAGGTTGTAAACTGCACCAGACTGCCGGGGCAAGACTGTGTTTGCAGAGTGCTTTCCGCTGGGGGGCACGAAGGCATAAGCAGGCCTTAGTGGGTGGGGGCAGCATGTGCACGACACGGGGCCCCTCACCTCAATCTCCTGCACCTGCTCCTCGTTGGTGGCGTACATCTGCTGCAGAGACTCCTCCAGCTCCTTGTTCCTCTCCAGCAGGGTCTTCCCCAGCTCCGCAGCCAGGTGCAAGTCTGGGGTAGGGGGCGGATGGGAGAAACACAGGCAGCATGAGAACAGCAAATGCTACCTATTAATGTCTACAGTATTCATTCTGTGACCCTGGGACCCCGAGTACCAAGATACAGAGCTACATGCCAGGAGCTAAGCCTTTGTTCTGCTGTGGCTTTTGCCTGGAATGTTCTTCCTCCAGGTACTCAGGGCTCACTCCCTATCTTCCTTCCATTCTCTGCTTATATGTCGCCTCCTCCAGGAGGTCTTTTCTTTTTTTGAGAGAGATTTTTGCTATAGGGTGCTCACCAGAAAGATAGAGACAGAGAGACAGAAAGTGATGAAGTGAGAAATCACCCCCAGGGGGATCCCTTCTCCATTCTCCTCTTGGAATCTTGGGCATGCATGCACACGCACCCGGTGTGAGTTTTAGCCACCAGAGCCGGGAGTCTAGTGACATAGCCATCACGCCAACTGCTGGTCCCTAGGGGGAATCTTGATTCAAACTCCAACCTCTTGATTCAAAGTTGCAACTCCCTTTGCCCCACACTCTTGCCTGTTTAATTTGTATCTAGCACCATCTAACTTACCAGACAAGTTACTCATTTATCATTCCTCTTCCACACTAAGTGTGAGCTCCCAGGAAAGGGATTTTTATGTTTCGCTCACTGATGTCCTCAGGGCGTGGGGCAGTAGCTGGCACAGAACAGGTGAATAATAAATCTTTTTTGAAAGGATGAGTGGTGGAAGAGGCAAAGTGCCCTGGGACAACAGCTGAAAGGGAGCTTTATACTTCCCGGGGCGCAGGAGACTCGAGAAAGAGTAGCCTCTGAGCTGGGCTTGGAAGGGCGTGCAGGAGCGCGCAGAGGCAGAGCACGCAGGTCTTGCTGAGTATTAGACCTGGTTGAGGACTCAGAGCTCTGGCTCCACGTCGTTTCCTGGACGATGGGCAGGAGAGTGGAGACTGACTTGTCCGAGGTCACCAGCTGGTTTGTGGCCATGCAGGGACTAGAATTCAGGTCTCCTCACTTGACCCTATGACACATGCCACTCTCCAGACATCTTTCCCTGGCAGCAGAACCATCCCCTTTCTACAGTGGCCCTGGTTCTTGTGCTCTGTCGGACTGGACCGTCTCCACCCCAAACCTCCCTGTCGGAGAGGCTGGAAGGGAACCTTTCTAGATTTATTTGTATTCTCACTTTCACTCTCTCTTTCTCTCTGGTGAGTGAGCGCATGTGCCCTATAGCAGGGGCCAGCAGCTGGCTTAGTGGTTAAGGGTGCGCTGTACTCCCACATGGCTGACTGTGGTTTGAGACCTGGATCTGGTGGCTTGCTTTCTCACTTTCCCTCTCTCTCACTCTGTCCCTCTCTGGTCAAATTAAAATAAAGTTAAGGGACCAGCAGATGGTCTAATGGCTACGTCGCTTGGACTCCCATGTAGTCAACTGCGGTTCGAGTCCCAGACCTGGTGGCTTAAACTTACGCCAGGTGGGTGTGTGTGTGCCCAAGATCCGGAGAGGAGAATGGAGGAGAAGGGATTGTGGCGTGGCCATACCCCCTGGGGGGTGATTTCTCACTTTCTGTTTCTCTGTCTCTTTGTTATCTCAGTGAACGCACACGCCCTATTGCAAAAACCTCTCAAAAAAAAAAAAACCAGTTAAATAAAATAAATCTTTAAAACAAATATGTACTTAACTTTATTATGATTATTTAGTGTACTATAGGGCACATGTGCTCACAAGAGAGAGAGAGAGAGAGAGAGTGAGAATGCAAGCTGCCAGGTCCAGGACTCGAACAATGATTGGCCATGTGGGAGTTCAGCGCCTTAACCACCATGCCACATGCTGACCCCAAATGTGTCCAGTTTTTAGGGGTGTGTGTGGGAGGTGGGGGCTAGAAAGAAGTGACAGGTACTGAAGTCTCTACAAACTCTCTGCAGGGCCTGAGTTGTGCGATAGCACCTAGACATTTGCAGTGGGATCCCTCCCCTCCACAGCAAGTGCGTACACCACACACGTTTGTCCCTCCCGCCATTTCTAAGAAGAGTTAGGGTGAGTCAAGGTTCTAAAACTGTGGTGATGTTACACAACTCTATGCTAACATGACCGAATCATGTACTTTAAAGAAGTGAATTATTTGGTGTGTGCTATAGCTCAATAAAACTGTCTTAAAGAAAGAATAACAGCAGGGGCCGGCAGGTGGCATGGTGGTTGCGGCACTGGACTCCCATGTGGCTGACCATGGTTCAAGTCTTGGACTTGGCAGCTTGTTCTCTCACTTTCCCTCTCTCTCTCTCTGGTAAGCATGCATGTCCTATAGCAAATTGAAAAATAATAATCATGATAAATAAAATTAGATAATTCTTTTTTTTTTTTGAGTGAGAAATTTTTGCTACAGGGCACAGGTATTCACTGGAAAGATAGAGAGAGACAGAGAGACAGAAAGCGAGAAGTCACCTCCCAGGGGGGATGGCCACGCTGCAATCCTTTCTCCATTGTCCTCTCAGGACTTTGGGCATGAACACACACATGGCTGGTGTAAGTTTTAAGCCACCAGGTCCAAGACTTGAACCACGGTCAACTACATAGGAGTCCAGTGACTTAACAATTACTCTATCTGCTGGTCCCCAAATTAGAGATTGCAGTGTAGCCATTCCCCATGGGGAGCACTTTCTTCCTCTCTCTCTCTCTCATGAGCACACACACCCTTTGGCAAAAAAAATAAATTTAATACAGAAAAATAATTAAATTCATGTACAGCTTATTTTTTAAGATTTAATTAATTCCATTTGTTATTACTATTATTTTTTTGTTATTACTATTATTTTTCAATTTGACCAGAGAAAGACAGAGAGAGAAAGAGAAAGGAAGAATGCAAGCTAGGTCCAGAGAGAGAGAGAGAGAGAGAGAGACAGAGACAGAGAACAAGCCTCTAAGCCCAGGACTCAAACCGCCGTCGGCCTGTGGGAGTCCAGCAGCTTTACCACCATGCCACCTGCTGGTCCCTATTTATTTACTTTTTAATTTGCAGAGGGCAGGGCTGGCGAATGGAGTGGTGGTTAAGTGCGCTGGACTCCCACATGGCCAAACGTGGTTCGAATCCTGGACCTGTAGACTTGTTTTCTCGCTCCCCCCTCCCCCCCCGCCTCTCGTCCCTCTCTGGTCAAATTAAAATAAATAAATAAATCAGGGGCCAGCAGGTGGTGTGGTGATTAAGGGCACTGGACTCCCACATGGCCGACCACTGTTCCAGTCCTGAACCTGGCAGCTTACAGTCTCTCTCTCTCTCTTTCTCTCCCTTCTCCTCTGGTCAAATTAATATAAATAAATAAATAAAGTTAAGATTCTTTAAAAAATAAAAAAGAGCTGTGTAGGGGCCAGCAGGTGGTGTGGTGGTTGGAGCGCTGGCCTCCCACAAGGTCGACCACGGTTTGAGTCCTGGACCTAGCTTGCATTCTCGCTTTCTCTTTCTCTCTCTGTCTTTCTCTGGTCAAATTGAAAACTAATAGTAATAACAAATGGAATTAATTAAATAAATCTTTTAAAAAAAGACTGTACATGAATTTAATTTTTTTTGTGTATTAACTTTTTTTTGCCAAAGGGTGTGTGCTCATCAGAGAGAGAGAGAGAGAGAGAGAGAGAGAGAGAAAGAAGAAAGCGCCCCCCATGGGGAATGGCTACACTGCAATCTCTTCTCCATCTCTCCCTCCTTCCAGGATTTTTGGCATGTTTGTATATGTGCCTGGCATGTTTCTCAAGTCACTAGGTCCAGACATGAACCACAGGGTTGGCCATGTGGGATCAGGCTGCTTAACCACCAGGCCACGGAGCTGGCTCTCAATTTTTATTTTTTTTAGAGGTTTTTGCTATAGGGCACGTGTGCTCACCAGACAGACAGAGAGAGACATAGAGACAGAAAGTGAGAAATCACCCCCCAGAGGGGATGGCCACGCCGCAATCCCTTCTCCTCCATTCTCCTCTCGGGATCTTGGGCACGCATGCACATGCGCCCGGCGTGAGTTTTAAGCCACTGGGTCCAGGACGTGAACCACAGTCGACTATGTGGGAGTCCAGCGACATAGCCATTACGCCAATTGCTGGTCCCTTAATTTTTTTTTTTTTTAACTTTAATTCAATTTGTCTACAAATCTTTTTTTCTTCATTCATGATAGTGGGAGTGTGAGGGTACATGTGTGTAAGAGAGGCAGTCCCATAGGGTCTGGCTACACTGCGACCCCCTGCAGTCCCCCAGCCCAGCGAGTGCCTGGCTATCTCAGGCTGACCTGTCCGGGACTCTAGCTGCGTGGCCTGTGGGGTCCAGTGTCCTCAGAGCCGTATAGACCCGCTGCACTATGGACCTGCCGTCCACACTTCTGAAGTCCCTTCACATACCACACAGTAAACCAGCGACTTGCAGGTCCGCTGTGAAGGCAGTGAGGTGCCCTGGGTCACCTAGTGGTTCAGGGACTGGAGCTGTTCGGGGGCGGAGGACTCTGGATCACAAAACAAGCTGAACTGGTCGGTGCTGCCAGGGGTCATGGGAAGAGTCCAGGAGCTTCAGAGCATAGGACGGGATGGGGCGCAGCCAAGTGCTGGGGAGAGCACCCCAGGCAGCTGAGGCCTGGCACCAGCTGCAGACTGGGCTCGGGAGGGAGGCGAGGAGCGGGAGAATGGGAGCTGGCTAAGCAGGAAGTGAAGCGGAGTGACGACAGTGAGCCTGTCACTGGCAGATTATAAATCACAGTGGGCCAAGCCGGGAAGGGACCAAGTCTGGGCTGGTACCTTCCCTGTGCCGACCCAGGGGTTTTCCAGGGTCCCCTTGAAGTGATGCCCCAGAGGTCTGCATGGGAGTGTTTGGGAGCTGCAGGGGTGACTTTGAAAAGCAACCTCGGAATTCCACGGTCCCTCACTGGCTGGGGACAGGGAGGGGCATGGTTCACTCTGGAGCAGAGAGGTGAGACGGGGTCAGGGAAGCAAAGACAAAGGTAGAGGGTACGGGGTCCAGGCGGGGGACACGGGCTGCCACCTAGTAGGGCTGGCACGTCCTGCTCACAGCTTCCAGGCCATGAGTGTCAGGAACTCGGTCTGCAGAATCATTGTCAGGTCACCTTTGGGGCGATCAGAGTAAAAGACGATGTCCCCCGGCCCTTGCTCTCCCCTGAGACTGGGGGCTCAAGGTCAGGCTAGGCAGGGCAGGAGAAGGCAGGTGCCCAGGACTTCACATTGGTGACGCGGGAGCCCCATTTCAGCCTGGGAAGAGGCGCCCACAGGGCGGGCCGTTTCCGGGAGGTGGGGAGGGAGGTGGGCCGAGAGGGTCCAGTGCTGAATAATTAATGGTGTTTTCTATTTTTGCAGGTGCTCCTGGAGTGGCCAGTGGGAGCACGCTGACAATCTAGGGCCTTGCCTGTGCCCACTGCCTTCCTCCCCTGGGACAGAGTGGCATCAAAGTCACACAGGGCAGAGGGAGACAGACAGCGGAGAACACGTAGCTGGCGGAGAAAAACACTTTCTGGGGAACCAGCAGTTAGCGTAATGGCTATGTCGCTGGACTCCCACGTAGTCGACCGCGGTTCGTGTCCCGGACCCGGTGGCTTAAAACTCATGCCGGGCGCGTGTGCGTGCGTGCCCAAGATCCCGAGAGGAGAATGGAGGAGAAGGGATTGCGGCGTGACCATCCCCCCTGGGGGGGGGATTTCTCGCTTTCTGTCTCTATGTCTCTCTCTGTCTGTCTGGCGAGCGCACGCGCCCTACAGTGAAAATCTCTCTCAAAAAAAAAAAAAAGTAAAAAAAAAAACAAAAAAACACTTTCTGGACCACCCAGGGAGCAACTGGGCAGAAGAGAACTGGGAGGTTGGGCATGGGGAGGGGGTCCTCCAGCCTGATCCCCAGTGTGGCTGGCCTTTGGCCTGAGCCCTGCCTCCCCATCCAGCCTCAGGCCTGGCCTCCCAGGGAGGGGAGCTGGAGCATCCGCTGGGGCCTCCCTGCTGTCCTTGGCACGCCCTCCAGCCCCTACCCTGCTTTGACAGGAGCGTCTCCTCCCCCAGAATCCCTGTCTACCTGCCTTCCTCTGTCAGGGTGCCCTCTGTGCCCTCCAGCTCATGGGCCCCAGGGCATGCACCTTTCGGAGTCCCTGCCCTCGCGCTTTGGGCCAACATAGTTGTGAGTTTGATCCTGTTTCTGTCTCCTCTGCTGGAATGTGGAGCCCCTGAGGGCAGAGACCCCGTCCCAGCCTCAGCACACACTTGGCCCATAATAGCAGACTTCAGGGTTTGGGTAGAGAGCTCCAGTTTCTCCCAAGGCTGTCTCCTTTCTGGTTTTTCTCCGGCTCGGGCACTGCTGGGCCAGGCCAACTGCTATTCACCAACAGGCCAGAGACGTAAGGGCTTGCAGGGCCCAGTTCCCACTGGCCTGAGCAGGGCCGCCCAGCCCAGCTGGAATCTTAGAATATCTCCTACTCCTATTCCCTGGCTCCTTCCTCCCACATCTGGGCCAGGTCTCATGCCAAAGCCTTTGCTAGGGGTGAATGAATTAAATGAGAGAGCAACAATATCAGCATCTGTCTCCTTGGGAGGTTGTCTTCCCAGAACTCAGCTTCTAATGTTTCCTTCTAAGCCTGCCTCTTCCAGGAAGCCCTCCTCATTGCTTCCTATACTCATAATGCTATACCTCTTTCACCTGCTCCAGTACACCTGGAGGGTCAGGGTTCTGGTTTTTCCCAGCTCCCAGAACTCTAGTGGAGCCTGTTAGAATGTAAACATTTGAGGTAGTGGCCAGGATGGGGGAGGCCAGTGTGGGGCACTCCAGGCAGGAAGATGGAGGCTGCAGGCCAGGCCAGGACAGAGAGCACAGTGTCAGCTCAGCACCCAGTCCCACCCTGGTGCCCTGGAGGCTCTGATTAGCGGCCGGTGCTGAGCACAGGGACACAGCCTTGTCTGCCGGTGAATCTGGGCTGCCGGGAAGTGGGTCAGGACCAGGAAACACTCCAGACCTAGGTAGATGCCTGACATCAGGGCAGGCCAGACCTTCGGGGCCCTGTGGATGGAGACCAGGGTGTGTGTGCCCCAGAGTGGGGCTTGATGTCACACACTGCACCAGACGGTTGTCCACTCCTCCCCGCCCCCAGCTTGCTGGTGACTGTAGGAAGGTTATTGCTCCTTGGACATGCTTCCTGGCCCCTCCAGCCCTGACCATCTAAGGCAGAGGCAGCCTGTGGGAGGAGAGGGTGGACTCCACTCTGCTCCAGGCCTTGGCCCTGTCCCTCCCAGGCCACGCCCCCTTCCTGTCCCAGCAGCCCCGCCCCCTCCCAGTGATGTCACTTCAGCCACCTCACCACCAGCTTCTGACCCCCTTCCAGTTGCCCTCTCTGCCCTTAGGTGGGGGGGGGGTAGTGGAGGTGGCTCTTCTTACTCAGGCTCTGCACTGGCGCATGGTCGAGAATTTCTGCGACCTGAGCCCCTCCAAGTCGTGAGCCATGGGGAGGGGACCTCGGAAGGGAAGGGAAGGGCTGGGCGACTCCTACCTCACGAAAGCAAATTAGAAAGTGGATTTTTCAGCATCTTCACGGCATGTTCTGAACCAGCCCCTCCCTGGGTAGATGGGAAGCGAGTTGGGAAAACTTTCTGGAGTCTCTAGAGCTCAGAAATCCGGCAGGGACCGGTGCTGCTGGGTTTGGAATGAGATAACTTCCCTCTGCACGCACAGTCCGACTCCAGGCAGGACAGAAGGAAGGCGTCACCTCTCCGCCTCCAAAGATCCCCAGCCAGTACCCAGGACCCCAGCAATACCAGAGGCACCCTGGCAGTTGCTGCCTCTACGATGGGGTGGGCGAGCTGGATACCGGAGGCCCTGTAGTCCCGACAAATACAGCGACTGCCCCCTGCCCCCCACTTTTGCAGATCTCTCCCGGCCCGGATCTTCCCGGGCAGCGCCCCCTCTCTGCACGTCCCGGTTCTCAGCCGCATCACTTGGAGTCGGTCGCGCCCGGTCCAGCCCTCCCGAGGTGATCCCGCTCAACAATGGAGTAGCGGACAGGGGTCGCGGGGCCACCCTGCTTTCCGCACTGCCTGCCCGGCGCTCACCCTGCTCCAGGTCCTGTTGGTCGTACCAGGACTCCTCTTCCTCTGCGGAGAAGTCCTCCATCCCGGCGGCTCTCCGCATGGCCCCGTGAGCCTCGGGTGAGCGGGCGCTGCTGCAGCGCGGCTCAGGGCCGGGGTGCCGGGCACGGGACAATGCGGCGGAGGCGGGTCGGGTCTCCAGCGTCGAGGCTTCGGGCTGCTGCGCCC